CATGTGAATATGACTGAAAAATTTCATTTTTTCTGAAAATGTGGTGTCTATTTACTTGTGACCACGCTGTGTATATTTGTGCAAAATCTTAATGTCACTAAATCTCTAGTTACCAGGCTCTGAAGTTTAACCTTGTTAGTAACTGAAAGACTAGAAGTATATAATGCATCTTTAACAAGTACACAGGAATTTATAAGAAATCGGAACTCATTTTCCTGTTTATTTTAGATAGGATTTTAAAACATAGAATATAAAATGTGTGAAACATTTGATTAATGTTTAAAAACCTACTTTTTATATTACCGAGGTATAAATATGATAATTTTACAATTATATTAGTCTTCTTTGATAATTTTTTCTTTAACCACTATCCACAGAGCTGAGAGGGAGCCACTTCCACCTCCCAAGAAACTCATGTTTGACTCCCCTGAATTACATTTGCCCTTTAATGGTGAATCTTAAAGTATTGGAATATTTTGTGTATTTAAAGAAGAAAGAATAAGTGATGTAAAGAATTGTGTTTGTAATTATAGATTTTTTAAGAATTAAAGCTGTTTCTTGGTAGATTGTTTAATGCTGTAATTTTTGTTTCAAAAAATATATTTTTAAGAGCAGTATATGTGATAAAACATCACTGTAAGGTAAGTAAAATAATTTCAAACTATTGATAATATAGCTTTTCATTTACACTGTTGTATGCTAATACCGATGAGGACTGTTTTTTTTTATTCCAAAGAGTAATTTAAAAAATTATTAAACATATGTTTTTTACTAAAATCCTAAATTTAGCCAATAAAAAAATGGCTTGTTTAAACTTCTTACAGGTATTGTTGTGCTCTCTTATTTTATCTGTTAAACTTAAGGAGATCATACTTCCCCAGCTACCCCCTCCAGTAGCTCAGTGGTAAGCCTCTGGGCTTATGATGCTAAAAATCGTGGTTTGATACATGTAGTGAGCACAGCACAAATACCCCATTGTGTAGCTTTGTGCTTAACAACAAACTAACAAACATACTTCTCCAGTTATTATAATAGCACTAGTCTGATGGATCAGCACATTGTCTTAGAAATAAACACTACATAAGTGGTGATTGCGTATTAACTTAAGTACAAAAGAAAGACAGTATGTTAGATGTCAAAATGTTACTGCCTCTGAATGATATAATTTAAAACTATGTTGGTATCATTTAAATCTGCAATCATATTGGGCAATAAAAAAGTGTTAATTGTAATTTGCTGTAACATTTTAAAGTGTATTAATATAAAAATACCTAACTTAAACCTTCAGAACTTTTCCAAATGTTGGTGTAGATGACCACACTTCCCCCTCCAGTAACTTCACATATCTACTTGTACTAAATTCTGGAACTAATAGAAGATTGGGGGGAGCTCATTTTTGTTAGAAGTAATATAGTTATTTAAAAAATTTTATTAAAATATTTTCCTTTTGCCATACGAGGACGAAAGTAAAAAATGGTGAATTTTTTAACTCAAATTACTAACTTTTTTAATACTGTTCACCACAGGTAAGATCCACGTATTAAATAATTTCAAGTGTTTGCTAGTTACAACACTCAGTTTAAACAGCTACTCAGAAATTGGGTGAAATTATGTACAATACATAGTGGCTTATTTGTGTGTGTGTGTGAGATTAATATGTTGTTAGGAACCATATAACCAAGAAAGTAATTGACCTCCAAGCAAGTTGGTGCAGAAATAATTTAGGAAAATGTTTTAAAAGGCTGATTGGAACCATATCCTATCTGTTAATCTAGAATTAGGTATTAGTTTCATGATCAGAATGTTTTTCAAAAAATTATTATAATGTTAAATAAATTTATTATTCAAATATTTATATTCAATGATTTTTAAGATGCCCATAGTTTCCCATCACTTGGTTTGTTTTAAAGAAAATGCTGTTATAGTTTTATCACGTGCATACAATGATTAATGTCAACATACTACGACTTGTGTTAGAAATGCATACATAGAGTCACAAAATTGGCTATGTATTTTAGGGTACTAGTAAACGAATTTTTACTTGTTTGTTAATTTTATAACATATCAAAAGTTAGTTTAAGAAATTTATATAAGGAGTTACTTCATTTATAATGGACACAAATTGTTATAAACGTTGTGTCAATATCATACCCTTATCTTCTGACATCTTTTGAAACTAGAGTGTAAATGCAACATATTATTAAACATCTTTAAACTTTATTTTTGAAACACTTAATACATAATGATGTATTTAATTTTTACTTCTCAAATAGTGAGCATCATTAGAAGATTTGTGTTCAGATGTCACAACATATTTTTCATTATATGTACATACACATGCATATATGTGTGTGTGTTTTCTCTGGGATTGTATGATTAACATTCGTTTTAAATGTAATTATAAGAAGAGCAGTAAGGTACTTTAATGCATAACTCACATAGTCCAGTGAATAAGCACCTAAAATTGTTCAAATTGTGAGGAAGTCAAGGAAATTCATATAAATATAGGTTTTCTTTATATGGAAGTTCATATAAAGACCCTTCACAGATTACAATATGGACACCATTGAAAAGTGCATTACTCAAACTACCTGCTTAAAATGCAATTAGAAGTGTCATCTAAATGTCTAAAATTTGGCATACATGTAGATTATCATATGGAAATTCTTCTAAAAGCAAGACCCTTTGTTGATCTTGTCCTAAACAGTTGACACCTTGGATTTAATCAAAAACCAGCATAACTATATGCTTTTAATTATTCATAGAAGTGTCATCTAAAGGTTTAGACTCATGCTGTCTTGGCTAGTGAGTTTGGTTTTTAACTCCTAAGTGTATATATATAGACCATTCTATTTTTAAAACATGCTGCAAAATCAAATGGACAACAGCAAAATCGTAGAGAAAAATTAAACAATCGTTATTTATTTTTATTTTTCGAATCGTGATTATTTCAACATTTAAAATAATAAAACTACTTTAAAACTTTCAACTGATATCTTAAGTACATTTAAAAGTGTTCTAGGTAATACCAATACACCAGTGAATGAATTTCAGAAGATTTTAATGTATTTTCCCTACATGTATCACTTACAGTAGACACTGATTTTATAATTTTGGAAATTGTCCATGTACATAAGTCACACTTCTAGAGGCTATGGTTTGCCTTTTCTGTTACCGAAAATATTTCGTACATCTCTGCAACCAGCATTGCCAATGGCTTTGTTCCAAGCATACACAAGGCTCTTACCTTTCACACACTGTGTCAGACTTCTATTGCTGAGGAACGAAAACTGTATTTGAGACATAAAAGGCATACCCTGATGTGACCACAACATTTGAAAATCATTCAGAAACATAACATAAAATCATGTAGGAGAATTTTGCATTGGTAAAATGGTTCACTGGGTTAATTACAGCTGCACTTGCCCAACCAGTAATGTGAATCAGGAGCAAGAGAAAACATCCCTTCAATTCAGGCTGCTTTTGAACAAAGTGTGAAACGACCTATTTATCAGGCTGGTCATATATTTGGGACAATCACTGGTGTCTGAACAGGATGCACTGACTCCAGGTGAATGGGGTTAAGAGCAAGTAGAACACGGCTGAACACTAGATGTTGTCAAGCCCTGCAACGAGCTCATCCATTCTCCTGCTAGAAGTCTCGGCAAATATTTTGTTTGTTTTGTTCAATTTCACGCAAAGTACTTGAGGGCTATCTGTACTAGGCATCCTTAATTTTGAAGTGATAGACTAAAGAAAAGGTAGCTAGTCAACACCACCTAGACTAACTCTTGAGCTACTGTTTAACAACGTATAGTGGGATTGATTGTCACATCATAACGCCCCTACTGCTGAAAGGGCGAGCACGTTCAATGACGGGGTTCGAACCCACGACCCTCAGGTTGCAAGTCGAGCACCCTAACCACCTATTATTTAACAACTATGGACTAGGGGTTGCAATCCCGATCCAGTATTCTAATTGGGCTCCCCAAAAGGTTGTGAAATTTGTCAAATGTTGTTGTGAGGCACTCTAGACTACAATTCATGCGTTCGAGTTCAGACAATTCTACTAGGTAATTTGCTGAATGTGATTTTTATGTTATGTATTTGATGTAACCTGCACCAAAATCGGTTTCGTTGTCTGTAATTTTTGCTGATCTGCCCGCATTTAAACAAATTTTTAAGCAGTTCTGTTTCATGATTAAAGAAGGTCGCCTGTACTCAAGTTTTAATTATTATGCTCTGGGTACTGAGCGACCCTTCTTGCTGGATGATGGTGACGCAGTCAGATATACGTATTAATCATATTTTAACACTTTCCTGTGTTTGCATTTCTTTTCAGTCATTTAATTTAGATAAGGAATTTAGATAGTATAATTACTTTGATGAAGACAAAATAAAAAATGTAATTTCCTGTCAGGATGCAAAGTGTACGGACGAGTTGAATGGAGCCTGTTGGTCTAATACATTATATCTGTCTTGTCCATGCTAGCAAGTTAAATTGGACAATGAAAATAAACCCAAGACTGCTTTTAGTACTCGAGAACGATTGTATGAAATCCACATCATGTATTTCAGTCTGTGTAATCTACCTACCACTTTAGAGAGGTCGGCAGAGCTTATACTCAGAGGACTGCATTTGGAGTGAGATCTCATTTTGTGCATGATATGCTCGTCTTTGGTCACACGCTGCATCTGCAAACCTGAGAATTGTATTTCAGCACATCAAGTATGCAAGCTTGAAACTGAAACTTGGTAAAGATGGAATGTCCATTGATCCTGCAAAGATCGCAGTGGTCCAGTGATCCTTCTAGTAAATAATAAATCTGTAATTTTTGAGATTTCGCATCATATTATCCATGGTTTGTGGCCAAATACTCAAAAATGGCTGCACCACTGTCTCAACTGAATACATTTAAGTGTGCTTCTTTTTTTTCTTTTTTGGCCATCACAATGCGAAGGCACGTTCCTGTCCTTGAAGTGCATCTCAGTTGAAGCACTAAGTTGGCTTATCTTTATCAAGATGGTGCAGTTTTCCTGGGCACATACATCAGTGACAGTAGAATTTGTGAAATTTGTTACAAATATAGAATTGTATGGAGTGTTTCATCGTGTAAGTAATAAGCTGAGCGTCAATAATGTATGACAAAGAAAGAACAGCTTACAGTTGTAGTATTTTTCAAACATTAGTACCACTACTTGCACGGTAGGAGTGCACCATTTGAGTGGAACATGTGTCACTTAAATGGTTAATGAACTTCAAATATCCAGATATTACGAGTGTACATTAATAACACAAAACAAGAATAACTTCATTATACAACACTGCCTGGGTCAGTAGTATGGAACTTCCAATGGATTATCTCATCCACTCGTGAAATCATGTTTCTCATTGAATGTTCAGATCTTGGACACTATACAGTGGTTAAAGGAGTAAAGACGATAAATCCCACGAACAAAAACAATTCTAAATTTGGATTGAAACCATGGATGACCACTCATGAACTTTGGAATAGCAACTGAAGGTTTCAGACCTAGCTTTTGCATTACTTATCATGTAGAAA